ATCCTTAACGCTGGGTAGACTTTTTGTTATGACATATCGTGTAAATCGATATGAAAAATACTTGTAATTAATTCCAGTATTTATGCTTTTTGTACTTATTGGAAGTTTTGTATTTAGGGTTACCTGACAAATAGTTCCTACACCTAACCACTGAGAAAAAGTTGCTGTTATGTAGACACTGTGAGTGGACTGTTGATTTGGTTCTTAGATTTTTAGCCATTGATCACTGAAAATTAATTCCCATTTCTTCAGTAGAGGAAAAAATGTCGTGAGGTACTTCTGAAAACAGTTGAGAAATGGTTGAACTATCCCATTTTTCAGTGCTCTCAGAATGCAGCTGAAGATGGGATCGGCTTTGCCAGGCCAAACTAATCCTCACGGAAGCAAATTTTCCCTGATTTTTAGCAATAAGCAATCACAGCTCCTGTTATAAAAATAGCATACACAAAATATTGCTTTATGTTTGGAAGCAATTGAATTGTATGCATGATGTCCATTCATACTGCCATACAAATATGCCTGATGAAGACCCCTTAAGTGTTCTTTATTGCTCCACATCTTAAAAACTTGATTTCTTTCGCAATTTGCTTCAGGGGCTGAGTATGGAATTCCTCATTTTCTGAAGTGGGATATAATTAATTGTATTAAAAATGTTGCTGCTGGTATAACATACAGCATGAAATTGTCAAAATATAGGGTACAGATGCCAAAGTTTTGATTTAGTTTTCTATCCATGATTGTGTAAAGCTTGCAAATGAAACATTTGATATGTTTTTTAAACCTCTGGAGCAATATCTTTATAAGTTAAATTTTGCATGGCATTGTTTGGTAGTTAGTATCCTGGTAACGTAATTAGCACAACAAGACATACAAACATAGTTACTATTCCGAGTGTTCATAATCAAACTAATACCAGTAGGAATCAGTATGGAATTGACCAGACGGTATCTTTTGGTTTGTACATACTGCTAATTGGGATTATGTATTTTGGAAAGCTAATCATTCTGCTGCTATCTGCATTAGCAATGTATATGGAAGAGATTATCTTAATTTTTATAATTCCATGTACTTTTGTAATGAGCTTATTTATGGACTGGTTCAAAGCCCTCTGAAGTCAACAGAAAGACTCCCACTGACTTAAATGGGCTTTGGATCAAGCGCATGGAGATTTTAGGTTTTGTATTGGGTTTAACATAAGGGTAGCTAATTAGTCTCTTCTAGGTAATTAATGTGGCTGATGTTTTCAAGGAAGCGAACTATAATTTCATTTTTTTGGGTCCAGTTCTGCAGTCTTTAATGAGGTACAACTCCATGTAAGTATAAATACTGGCATTTTCTGTAAGCAGCATTGCCTTCCCCAAGTGTTCAAAAATCATAAATCACACACACACACACACACACACACACACACACACACACACACACACACACACACACACACACACACA